TTACAATATATTAAGTCAGATTTGCTTCCAGCAGATTCTGTACCTTCAGGAATAACAATTTTTTGTTGTCAGGGTTTGTGTGTCTGTTGAGTGGCCATAAACTGGGAAAACCTCCGCTCTTCTCTCCTGCCTCCCTCTCCTTTCTTTACCGCCTTTTAGCTCTACAGCAGAAATGAGGGAAGCAAAATTTGCTGAAGGAGACCATGAAAAGAGCTTCAAAACATTCCACCTTTTTTCTCTGCATAAACACACTGTGAATTTCGAACGTACACAGTGCCAGGGCACTGCCACTCAGACCCCAGCAGCCCGCCCAGGTTAGACAGATTTATGCTGCCCCGTTATCTCAGTTATTGCAGTTTCTTGCCTTTCATTCATTGCCAGTGGCTGGATTTTATGTCGGTGTAGTGGAGAAAAGGAGCCTCAGTTGCTGAAGTTAATCTCTCGTGGTGAGATGAGTCATAGTGGGCTTTCCAGTGGAGAATCCACAAGGAGATAGCTGCTAGCCTTGTTTGCCAAGGCAGCAGTCAAACGAATGCTGAATTTTGGCAGGTACGAGTGGGAGAAATGCCACTGCAAGCTCACTTCCAAATCTGCAGTATTTGGCCCATATCAATAAAACAAAGTGATTAAAGAAAAATTTACATGTCCTATTAAAAAATACATAAAGTATAGTTGTGGTTTGAATAGAGGATGGTACTGCTGAGCAAACTTGTCTGGCAAAGGGCAGTGGCTGCTGCTTCAAAAATCATATCCACTGTATAATTAACATTAACCTTCAACCACACCAGCAACCTCTCTGCTTTCATCAGGTCTCCTTTCCTCCCTGATACAGAGCTACCTATTACAAGGGAACGCAGGATGTGATGAGGGGATTCATTTCTGAATGTCCTTTTACAGCCACATTAGTCCTGGTAGGTACGGCGTCAAAGCACTTGTCCCATAGATAAGCCAGGCACTGCCTACCGGCAGCGTCCCTCTGGATCCCACCGGAGCCCGTGCATGCACAGCAAAGGGCCCCAAGCCCTGCCCTGTGAGCGCATTACGCCAGTCCCCTGGTCTGATCACACAATGATAGAATCACAGCACGCTTTGATCCACAGCGCCGTGTTTGGAACCAGAAAATGGTGAGCTTGCACGGCGGCATCGTGGGAGGTATATGCACAGCATACCCATCTCTAAACTGGTCTCATTTAACGGGTAGTACCTTTAACGTCGCTCTGCCAAACCAGTTTCAATAGCACATTTCATTTGTGAGATACTTCCAAAGAAGGGAAAAGCTCTTACCTATTGCTCTTCGGAGATCTTCACACTGGCTAATGTGAGGGAATTTCAAGATTTCCTTCCACTTTTTGCTTTTGCCTTTGCGTTTCCCTCCACCCCCTGCAGAGAAAGAAATATCAGGATTAGATTGCTTTGGGGACTATGCCCAGCCCAGAGATTACCAGCTCAGACACAGTTCTTATGCATATCGTTAATAATTAAAGTTGAGACATTGTGGGCAGATACACAGCTCAAATGTGAGCTTGTCTGGGCTGAAAAAGACCGAGGAGGCGGCAACTGGCAGAAGATCAGCTTGCTGAAAGTTGGGAGTTCAGGCTTGTGGCCCACCAGGTCCAGTTCAGATGACAGGGCTGCACCGCGCATCTCCAGCAAGCCAAATAATCTCGTAAAATTACAGCTCCCATCTTTTCAACCTGGATCTCCCCCTTCTGGCTTTGGGATGAGCCCTGATTTCATCCCAAAAGAAATGCTGGAAACTGAAGACCAAAATTCAAATCTTGCCATGTCCCCCCTCACATTGCCTACACCCCCAACACGGCGTTACCCCTGATGTTACACACTCTGGTCACTGCTCCTTCTACAGGAGGAGAGAAGTGGGAGAAAATTAATGTCATATCCTCTTGAGGAGAAAACCTCTTTTTGATTCTTTTTTTCCCTTCTCACTCTTCCCTAAGATTTCCTGAACTGGACTGTCCTTGAAGTGAATGACCTAGCTGGCTTCCTCCAGCTCTGGCTGAATGAGGTCCAAGACCCTCAGCCTTTCCATGCTGATGAATCTCCCTCTTCAATGTTCTTTCACAAATGCCTTGCTGCAGGCATCACTGCCATCTCTAGGTGCCCCGTTGGAGCTTGCAAGGGGAATGCTGTCTGCACTGGGCTCTGACCAGTAAAGGCAGCACTTCCAGCACACCTCGCTTTGCTCCTTGCTGGGATCGCTAGCTGACACCATGCCTACGAGGTTAGGCTCCTTCAGCCCAAGGAAGCCTAATGGAGGCTGACTTGCTGTTTGTGCTCTCCCCCACCATCTGCTAAATGGGCACTCAGATCCAAAGCAACTCAGCCTCAGAGGACATCCTTAGATTTTTCTTGCCTTCTTTTTTTCACTATCATTGAGTACTTTTTTACTCCAGCCCTCCCCTGGGTTTCTCTTTTATGCCTCCACATTTTTTATACTGCCATATCAGCATTACTGCAGAGGGCAGGAGGTGTGGTGTGGTGCTGGGGGTTTCATTCCCAGCTTGTTTGTGTGCTCGTCCTGCTCAGAGAGGCCGCGCAGCCACCAGAGAAAGAGGATCCCTCCAGACACGAAAGCCCAGGTGAAGACTGAGATTCTCTGAGTCGCCGTATTCACTGCAATTCTGTCCCTGCATACAAGATCTGATTCACTTGAGTCTATTTTACATGCACTGGCACGTAGAATGACTAATTCAGAGCTGAGTTAATTCTGTAGAGGGGCTGGTAGAGTCACAACTGCAGATTGAGAGTGTGTTGGGTACTACATGATATTGCAGGCTAAATTAGGAGAGCATTGACTCAAAAGGTAGCAGACCGTTACAGAGAAAACACGAGCCTTGGAAAAAATTGTGAAGTATTGCTCTCTGTGGGGCATTTCTGATCACACCTTTGGTGCAGGAGTGCTTCTTCCGCACCTCACTTATTATGCCTTTGCTTTTGGTGAGCAGTGGTTTTGTTACTGCAGAGCTTGCCTTGAATTATTTTAAACTCCTTATTGACAGGCATTTATTGTATGTCTACACTATGCAATGCAGAGCAGAGATACCTGCACTAGCTGTAAAGGAACTAGCATGTTGAGACTATCAGGAGCACAGCTATGCTACCCTTTCCAGGAATTAGCCTCCAGCAAAGCACAGACAGCTGCGACTGCCTCCACGCTACGCTATAATCCACAATGCAGATGTACCCTTTGGGTCTATAATGCACTCTTCTTCAACCTCCCCTCTTCAGTGCACTCCAAACACTGTTGCTAAAGTCATTTCCTCTCCTGTTCCTCCAACCACAGAAAGGCTGTCTTGGTCTCTTCTTGCAGAACACAACACTTGGTCTTGCATGTTGAAGGTCTTGGGTATGCTACCAGGCACTGAGAAGCATTTTGTGGGGTGGGGTAGGCACTGTGATGGTCCAATCACTGGCTCTCCTGGAGCATGTGGCTCTGCTGTGGTCACCAGCAACTGCAGGGGTTGGATTCAGCAACCCGAAGGGTCCTCCACTGGCTTTCATCTCCCTGAAAGCCCACTCCTGCAGTCCTGCATAGTCGCTTATGCTTGCCAGGCTGCCACCTCCACTCGCCCCTCTTCTCCTTGTCTTCCAGGGTCACCTTCCTACGTGCTCCTACCCTTACATCTCCTCCATCCGTACTTACACTACTCTGCACCTTCCCTTCGTATGCTCCTCTGGGGAATGATCCTTCCTCCAGGAATTCCAGTTTCCTTCTCTTCACCAGTCATTCTCTTTGGTTGCATTTTCTTCCCTGAGCTATTGCTTCATGTTTTTCCTCACACTCGTTTATCTTGTAAACTTTGAGCTCTATGTCTTGACGTCAAACATCCATGGGAATGAAATGAATCAAGTATATATTTGTTAGCGCTGGGGAAGGGATGGGAAGGAAGGGGAGGGCAAGGAGGGAGGGAAACAGCTGGACTGGTGTCACAGCAGAATGATACCCCTTTGAGAGCCACAGGGTTTGAATCTGGATTTCTGGATCTCTTCCTCAGGCTTCCAGCTCCTGGAGCAGCTCATCCCACCTCCACGTACAAACATGTGCCTCTCACCTCTGCCCGCTGCCTCTCCCCCTGCAGAGACCCGCTCTGCTCTTACCAAGGAATAGGCAGAGAGGGGTGCTGGCAGGGGGCTGGCAGGAGCTCCCTGCTCAAGGTAGGAGCAGGCACTGTAAGCAGGACAAGACGCATGCAGCTGCTTGGGCAGCGGTTCTTGCTAGAACAGGATTTCCAGTCACTTCTGGACAGAGGAGGTGGCAGGATTAAGCCACATGAAAGCATCCTTTAGGCTCCATCTGCTCAGCACTGGTACATCTTCACTTGATGAAGGTGTACCCTCTAGACCAAAGCACTGGAGATTTCAGAGTGCACCTGCTTCTCCAGCCAGCTTCACAGAAGTCCTCACAAAATGGTTTCACCTCTAGCAGCACCAAGCTGTGCAGAGCATTGCAAAATAGCCCTTTGCTCTAAATGACAGCTCTGAGATTTGTGCAGAGGTGAAACGATTCTGCTAAGCTGAGCCAGAATGTTTTTAAAATCCATTTGATGTAAAGTATACATTGATATATTTACATTGGGTGATGTATTTCTGACATTAAATTTCCATCAAAACCGGAGAAGGGCTCTGTGGTCCCCTGTTACAACCGTGATTGATACAGCCAGCGTGTTCTCTTCTCTTTTGTGGCCATTCTCCAAAAATAAGCAGCCTTGCCTGATGAATCATTTGCTCTTAGCTGAGCGTGAAGTAGCGTTACTGTTTTGCCTGTGACGTCTTTATGTTAAAGATTCTGATCAACTGCTTTAATCGACCTGACCTTTCCGCTCTCAGCTTTTCTTGTGGAGCCAGCAGTGTTTGCTGGCTCCAAACGTTAATTCCAGGGGGTCTGAAGGACATAATGCAGCGAGACAGCTGAGCTGCTAGCTAAATTGTCTAGCAGAGCTAAAAGGGGAGGTTTCTCTGAATAGGTCAGTAATTGTGCAGGTTGCAAAGGGAAGCTTTTCACACATTGCCTTGATTGCTGCCTTTGCACTGCCTGTGCTGGACAGGAGGGTTTGCGATCTTCAAGGCAGCTTCTCGGAGCAAGACTTGACAGACGTGCCATGTTTTGGATGTGAGTTCCATCATGTGGTGTCGGAGCGTCTGACTGCTTTAAAATCTTGGTTTGCTGACGATGACAAAAGGTGAGCTCCCAGCAACAGCATGAAATTTAAGCTCCACTCCCTTGCATTCACTTCACAACTCAGCATTTGCAAACCAGGGACTGAAGCTAATTCTCTAATGTGTCAACCAGACCTACAGGAAACAAAAGCATTTGCTCTACATCCTACCTACTGAAAAATACATGGCATATTTCATATCGTTTTGTGATGCCGGATGGCAAATCTAGCTCTGATCTCTGCATGCAAGGACACAGACATAACCAGAGGCACACATGTAAAGCATCTGCAAGCAGAAGCTACCCTTAGCATAAGATGCCTACTTTTTTTTTCGCCTCCGTTAGTCAGGATACTCTTACTCTCCTAATAGAGGAGGTAGGAAAGCACCTGCATATTGTTGCATATTGTTAAGCCAGTGAGATATTAAGTGGCTTTCCAAAATGACATGAGAAATCAGAGACAGAGCAAGGCGCTGAAGCCAAAGCCTTGAGCCTGTTAATCCTGCTAACGACAGGATCAAGCTCAGCTAATTAAAGGTATTCCATAACACAGACTGAAACACAACGACGGGTGAATTCATTTCAGCATCATGCCTGTAGCATGTTCCATTCATGCCTAACCACACAAGGTGGCTTCTAGGCACGGCTAAGCCGGCTTCATATTTTGCCCTGTTCTTGCCCAAGCTGACAAGCCTGCATCACACCCCATGCTGCCAGACCTGGCTAAGTCAGAATGGTGAAACATTCCATCGCCTGCAGCTGTATTATCTGCAACCTAGTTAATCCACAGGTAAACTATCCACAGATCACCGAAGGACAACTACAGCTTCTGTCTTCCATTTTGCAACAGTAGCTAGGCTCTCATCCAAGTCTTTCCCAAAAGGGGTACAAGAGCTCTGTATGCTCTGATTGCAAGGCCTTGATTACACAGCATGTGAAGCAGTGAAACAAACTCCAAAAAATATTAAAAGTCCAAAAGTCATGGTTAGTGTCCTATTTCCACTCAAAAGAAGTTTACATTTTTTCTCCTCTTCCTCTTGCCAGCCTTCCTTTACTCTCTGCCATCAAAGTGTGCAGCTATACAAGATATATGGAATTGCCATATTTGATTAAACGAATGTTCTGTGTAATACAGGACAGACCGCAGGCAGCTTCAGAGGAAGATCTTAGAAAGCTGTTTTGAAAGTATTTGGAAAGCA